GCATTACCAACTCTTTACAACTGCCTGTAAACTGGCATAATAAACATATTATATTGAGTACCTGGCGACAGTGACGAAGTTCCCATCGGCGCTTACCTGAAGCATCTGAATAAAAAGATGCGTATCGCCACAGAGGAAGCGCGAATACATCTCCAGGCGTCCCAGAGGCGTCAAAAAGATCACTACGACCGGTTGGCCCTTGGAAGTCCCTACGAAGTAGGTGATGTCGTTTGGCTTCGGAATTATTCTGTTGCCCAGGGAATGCCGTCTAATTTCGTAGTTGATGAGTGCGGCCCATATACCGTTACCCGAGTTATTTCGGATACTACGTGCGTTATCCAGGGACACGAACGTCCTTTCAGCCCCGAGTTCACGGTACACTTCAACCGTCTCAAGCTGGGCGGCCGCCCCGCCGAACCAGATAATAACTCAGCACCCCCACGCGATGAGGTATGATCCGAAGATATAGAGGAGACTTTCGTACCCGTAGGAAGTAGTCCGCACCATTCGGAGGATGATGTACACGCTGAGGACAGCGATGCCTTTTTCGGGGAGGATGCAGTGTAGCAGATACCTTTAAGATGGCCTCAATTTTTGTTGATTTTGCTCTATATTAAAGATGGCGGCGAACCGTTTCACGACTTGGTTATTTTAAACGTACATAATCCTATTGAGTATATGATCGGCTATTTCATGTCTGCGAGTTAATGCTATTGGCTATGTTTCCATTGGTTTAAGCCCTCATTTTATCGACTTCACTCTTCTTCCTTCCCTATATATAGAGGGACACATCGAAGGTTGATCATCTCTCGCAGCAGACGCCTCCAAACATCTCCCAGAAGTCATCTCCGGCCAGGACCAGGACTAGGACAGTCAATCAGCCCCGCAAAAGGACGACGTTTCCGATTGTTATAAACAGGACTTATAAATTAGTCCTTTCCTTAGTACTAAAGTTTAAGAGTTGGATTCTTTGTTTAAAAGGTCTTGTTCTTACTTGGGTTCGATTCGGGGTTTTCATTGGGTTCGTTGTTCTCTTTCGGGTTATAGTCGCTCGCAGTCGCCCGTTGACCACCTCGGTTCGCTACAATAGCATAGGAAGCATTGTCGGTTGTCCTTACCCAGTTTGGGTTGGCGTCTTTGGTATTCGATGCTGAATGACGACGATGTCCGGACTGCCCTCAATGATAGTTGCCGAAATTTTATATGTAGAATACTGCTAAGCAGGCAGAACACCGAATTTCACCCTGGACTCATGCATTGCTGCGGTCCAATTGGAAGAAGTAATTTTTTGAACTGACCGCGGCTGAATATACCTCTGCAGAAGAATCAATCAAAAATCCAATAATGATAAACTGTTTCCAGACCTCAAATATTCTTATTCTGAAACCTCTAACACATGTACTGCATGGATATTATTTTCCGATTTCGATCTTATTGTCCCTTTGTAGACAGGTTTTTTCACTTAGAACAAACTCCTTATCTTGCACACTATTGACTAAGCATAAAGCAAAAACAGAGCCAATATCTGTGTGCAAAAGAATGGGTTTGTTTTAGGTTTTTCCTGTTTTTCAAGGGTTTTGACGGTGCCCAAGAGGTTTCTTACCAACAAACCTTATTATTACTATCTTCTAAAGGGGACACTTGAGGCTCTTCTCACACAACACGTCCTCGGTCCAACTAGAGTACGTGGAGGGCAACAGGCTGGTTGTTTAGACCTAGTCTTCACCAAACATCCTGACAATATAGACGAGGTATGTTGCCTACCTCCACTTGGTCGAAGTGATCACGCTGCACTTTCGTGGGATTGTGGTCTATATTCGGTACCTCCTAGAGTAGACGAACCAAGGCCGAATATATCGCGAGATGACTTATCTCAAATGAGATTAGAGGCCGGGTCTTCTTTTCTCCGGGGATGTCACTGAGGACTGAAATACATTTTATGCAAAGCCATTGTTCACTATCAGTGCCCAAGATATCTAACTGACCACAGTGGGTGACAAGAGGTCTAAAAAAGAGATCAATAAGAAAGGAAGGCTTTGGAAGAAGTTTCGACGAACAAACCAGAACGAAGCTTTCGAAGAATACAAAATCCAGCGCAAGAAGGTAAAAGTTGGTTTTCAAAAGACGACAGAACTTTGAAAGTAATCCACTTCATCGAGCAGTCAACAATCCGAAGTTGCTATACAGCTACTTAAGGAAAAGCACACATAACAGGAACCCAAATCCTGCTATGAAAATTATGAAGTTCTCGAAATCTCCGACTGTAAAAACAAAGCCAAGCATTTTTCTGAGTTCTTTCGTTCGGTTTTCATCACAGAAACTGCCTTCGTCACAACTAGTGACGGGACCGCGGGAGCGCCAAATATTGAAGACATTCTGCTTGGAGAAGAAACGATTTTTCAAGAACTAAAAATCTTGAAGGAATGCAAAATCTCCCGGTCCAGATGGGGTTCCTGCGGAATTGCTCACAAAACTTGCTAGAGAGTTGGCTAAACCGCTATCCATGATGTGCCGGCAAACGTTCGACAATGGAATCCTTCCCCAGATTGGAAAACAGCGCACACTACACCGCTTTAAAAAAGCGGTAGTCGTGCAGTTACGACCAACTACAGACCCTTGAGTCTGACCTTCCTATGCTGCAAGGTAATGGAAAAGATTATCAAGAAGGAATTAATGACATATTATGAAACTCAATCTCTTGTCCAATATGCAATATGGGTTTCGTAAGGGTCCTTCATTTGTTTCAAACATGCCCTACACGATGCAAAGCTGGACAAGGGCAACTGATGCAAAAGACACCGTACATACGGCCTACATTTATTTCCGGGAGGACTTCGACATATTCCACATCAACGTCCAGGAAAATCTTTGTCGATTAAACGACTGGTTACGCATGTAGTGTCAAACTGACGCTAGAGCCTACAATTCGTATAAAAACACGTTAAAAATTTGCTAACGGAAAGATGCCAGACATACAGTAGATTACATATCTGACGAAAGGTGGGGGATTGAGGATTTAACACACATTTGAGGTTGTTTATTTAGTTGATTGATTTGACTTGAGGCGCAAAATATTAGTTACTAGAATTGAATTCTGTTCATCTCAATATAGTGCGAGAAATTACAGGCGGAAATGGGCAAAATCCAGCGTTTGTTGACATCCGAGGAATTTCCTATGCTATT